CAACAATCCTCAAAATTCCTTCCTTTGTGCCTGTCATGACCTCATTTTGACGAAGTTCAAGCTTTTGAAATGCTGATCCTTTGGTGTTCAAGATAATGCGGGTGGCCAATTCATTGAGTTTGGTCTCAGGCCATGCACGAATCAACAATCGAATCTTCTGGCGCCACTGTTCAACGCTGTCGACTCCCGGGTCGAAGGTGGGCACAAGCTGTGCCAATTGGGATCCCACGGATGTCTCCGTAGAACCTGAGCCAGCACCAACCCCTTCAGTACCTGACATGCTCTGCTAAGCTTCCCCAAGCAACAAAGTCCTGACAGGTCCCTAAGGAGCGACAGGCTCCGCTACCAATCACAAATGTGATTGGTAGACGGAACCTTACCTTCTCAACTTGGACGACCACGTCCTTCGCCAACAAAGACAACTGTCAATGTAAAAAAGGATCACCAAGTGCCCTGCACCACAATGTATGGATACCTCAAAGTGCCCTGCACAATACCCTCCGTAGCCCAAGCACCAAGCCGCACGTTTTCCGGTGTACGGCACAGGCTCATGAACCCTTCCCACCCACCACTTGAGATGGGAGGTGGCGACAGTGGCAAACAGGAATGCTTCATCATGTGACAGGGTATTCTTCGAAATCTATAAAACATATATATATATATATTTTGTATATAATATTGTATAATTTAATGTATTATGTATAATACATAATATATCGATCACTCCGACGAACACATCACATGGAAGTGGGATGAAGCGGACGATCTTCAAAGGAAAGCAACTGTCTTTTTCTACGAACGGCCACGCGATGGACGACTCGTCTCCGGCGTCTCCTGAACCTTCAGGCGCATTCCGAGGCGACTCGCCGCCGCCTCGCTGACGCGAGTGTGCCACTGGTCAGTGAACTGAGGGTCTTCTCGGAGGGTTTTGGTTTTTCTTTTCTCGGAGGTGGTTTTTGGGCATGTTGCGGAAGAATTCAGGATGTTCATGGATGTTCAACAATTGAGACAAACACATCAAACATCCTTTAAAAGCTGTGGTCTGTTCAACCCCCCTTATGATCTTCTAGAGATGGTGGTACAAGCAAGATCAACTAAAGATGTCATGAATGCAAAATCCATGGATTTGGTGAACGACGGCTGCCACTTGGTCTCGTCCAAAACAACCGCTGGGCAAAGTCTGCGTGCCTTGGCTTCAGGTGCTCTACATATCTCAGTCATTTCTCCCATTATGTCCATCAACACCCTGGTTCTAAGCAAACGGATATGCTTCAAAGCAAGCCTTTCAGCCCCTTCTCAAGATAGGAACACCTGGAACACCTATCATATAGTCTCTCCATATAGTCTCAGCAACTTCAAGCACATCCCACATGAACACCTGGAACCACGGAAACACCAAACGTCCCAGCTGCTCCGATCTTTTCCTTCTTGCTCTCAGACTCCTGCGGCCGGAGTCAGCCGGAGACCGACCGCTCCGTCGCGGTAAAGAAACGGCATGGCACCGACTCCTCCGCCCAGAGGGGGGCACTTGGCCACGAACGGGAACACCTGATCCGAAGGACTGAGTTCCGGCATTGAGTTCCCTCTTGGCCACTTGGTGATTCTGGCGCCCAAACCTCCGTCTGAACCGAAGCAGGTGAAAGCAGAGTCGATCCACCCGACCCCCCCGATCCGTTTTCGCGCCCGATTCCGCCCATGAAGACGATCCGATCGAACGTCGATGGACCCCGGCAACGCCAGGCCGAGTGGATCGAACGCCGTCCGACTCCAGGGGACATATATGACACTTAAGCCGATCAGGCCAGCTATGGTTTAAACTCTGGCAATCAGCAATATGCATGTGCTATATTCATCTATAGGTGGCGTGTCTGCACAGTAAGGCGACTCTTCGGTGAATCACCTCTGAACAGCCTTTTAACACTTGGAAAACCCGGTGTTTGCCTTAAGCCGAGCAATCTCCTCTGAAGAAAATATCTGGATGTCTCTCGATGCTTCTCAGCAAGCCTCTCAAGGTCAGCTACATACCGGTGGCAATATGTGGCAATGTAGACTCTTGATTAATAATCTCCCAGATGAACATGATTTTTTTCAAATTAATCAAGTCAATACATTATAGATATCTGATCTCTCTTGATTTTCATATGACCCTTCCGTGTTCTTCATTTTTTAGCATCCGAAGACGACCAGGCTGATCAGAAAACACCAGGCTGAATCACTGAGACTCTCGATCGATCGGTACCATTGGATCACCACTGGGAGATGGAACGAGATTTACCAGAGCTCCTCCAAAAGAAAATAGGAGCAAGGACGCTACTAGTAGTTCCTGGCATCGCTACTAGTAACAAAGGGCATTACTACTCTCACATTCTCCCCTCCCAACTTGCTCCGTGACACCGTCGCTACCGAAAGAATCCCAGCTCGCCCCAGGGCTGCTGTCCTCGACTTCTTCGTGCTCTTCGTGCTCTTCCAGCGACGTCACCACACCTAGCGACGGAGGGCGGGCGTTCTTGCTACTAGTAGCGATGCCCTTTGCTACCAGTAGCGATGCATATATAGTATCCAACACTTGAAAAGCTGAGACATGACGTCACACATCTTCTCTGGGGAAATCTTACACGTGCTGCTTGCACATGAAGTGTGTACTACACACTCTCCCTGGAAGAAGCATATTTCTCCCTGGACCGAAAGGATGACCGTCTTCCTCTACACCAAACAGCTGGTCAAGTCACGCCGTGATGAGGCTCCGTTTCATCATGAGCCAACGGATGATCCGCTTTCCATGGTATCTAAAGGGATGATCATCCGTTTTAAAGGGATGAGGCTACCATACCGTTTCGCCACACGGTGTTGAGGCGACATAATCCCGTGTTCGTCGTTCGATGTTCCGGGGGGGTCGGAGCGACGGGATGGTGGAGAACGAGCGTTGCGTCGGTAGCTTTTTGTTGATTTTGTCACCAAAGGAGTGGTGTGTGGAAACAAGGACCTTTCATTTTGCTTGATCGGATCGTTTAATGAATAGGATTAAGAAAGACACATAGAAATGGCATGAACATGATTTATTAAGTTGATATATTAGATTACTTAGATAATCTCAATATTTCAACAGAATACTTAGATGTGATGATGTGATAGTCAATGTCCTCATCAAATCAACCGCAAAGAGTCCAAACGTCATCCGAACGTGCAGAACGAAGCGACCGGTGCAGCCGAAACCGGGGGCAGTTGGACGAAGCGACAGGGGTCGTCCTCGCTGTTCGGATCTTGACGAACTTATGTTGATGAGCTTGACTCGTGTGATGACTTGTGATCATGTGTTGAGGTATACGTCTCCATTATATATATAATGACCTTAAATCAAATATTTCGTCAGTTTTCTATTTCCATTGTCTTTCCATCAACCGTCTCCCTATGCGGCTCTTTTGGAGAGGGAAGTGCGCAAACGCAACTCTTACCACAAAAGGCTTTGTGGCAATTGCCGGCGCTTGGGTGTGCCTCATGAAAGCTTGTCCCCCCAAGGACCATCCCAGGTCAAACATGTCATGGTCTTTTCAAAGAACTTGAGGACTTGACCATGCAGTCCTCACTGCAGTCCTCTGGACTTTGGCGGCCGTTGATCCCAGAATGACGTGCCATCAACGGCCTCGATAGCTCTGCAACATCACCTCCGTCCGTGTCACAATGTCATGCGCCGGTGACACGGTTCATGGATTAACAGCAGGTCCCATGCTGCGACAGCCCGGTTCAGGGGCGCCTGGCTCTGGAAATTGATATGACATGATATGACCATGGCCGCTTAAACATGGAGAAGACTGTGACCATTGTGACCAGGCTGCCCGCACCTCTTCCTGGTAGCACTGGCAGCGACCTTCCGCGTCTCTTCACATGACCAGCGACCGTCGTCCGTTTCCGTCTCACCTTCGGTGGTCCACGGGCAAGGCTGCAGAGGCGAGTCCTCAGGACCCCGCGCGACGCGGGACCCGCGACCGGGGTGGATGGATTTCAGGCTTCGAAGCATATTAGCAGGGGTCGGTTCATGGGCATCATCAGTACGAGTATGGAGTATTGGGAGACCGACTTTCGGCAGACCCGAAGGTTTGGGGAAACAGACCAATCTATCGATTTGGGCCACAGGATCTCGCGTAAAGAAACATACATAATCATACATATATACATAGGAACAAGTAGCTACGAACGCGGCTCCTGGCCTTGCTACTAGTAGCATTCTTACTACGAACGGAACAAATAGCTATATGTTATAATTGCCTATATACCCATCATATATACCTACATAATATATATATATATTAACCTATATAATACCACATAATCATACATATATACCTATATATACCCATAAACTACCCATAGACCTACCAGTCCCATGGAGTGTCTAGGAGCTGAGAGGGCAGCACCGAAGTTTACCAGGGCGCACATGATCATCTGTTTATCGCGCCGATTTCTAGCCGCTCCACGCTGGCTAAAGCGCCGATAAACACGAAACGGTTCAGGACCAGGAACCATGAACCTGAGTCTGCCACCCTTGGAAGAACCATGGTCAGAACACCCTCGACATCATATTTCAGTTTGATAAACATGTTGAACAGCTGAGCGAACAGAATTTCACCACCTCTTCGACATCATCCACTACTTTGATGCATTTTGAGGCGGGCACTGCAGGCAAGCAAATCCCACCATCCTGCAGCACGTATGAGCACATGCACGTGCACTTTTGATGCCACACACGACCATATTTTTGGTTGAAGAACGTCAGAAAGCGATGCCAAAACGGTTGAGATATGAGGTACGTGATGTGCGAGGCAGAACCTCTGAGGCGAGGCGACTGAGGCAGTCGCCCTATGAGGCGACTGGCCCACGATCTCAGCCGGAAGGCAGAACCCGGATGTCTTCTTCTCAACTGGGTTCTGGTCAACCTGAAGCACCTGCGCTACCCAAAAGAAACATGGAGAGTGGAAAAAAAGATCCCTTTCTAGAGGAGCATGGTCTTCCAAGCGCTCCACTTCCAGGATTGTTGGAGGGAAGATTGTAATCAAACCAACATGACACTCTGTTTAGGTCGCACTGAGGAGGCTTTGCTACTCGAAAGAGCAAACACACCGTTGCCATCCCCGTCGGCGCGCGCCCGCCCTCGTCCCAGGTGCCCACGTACGTCGCGTCGTCGCGACGTTGCACCCCGAGCGCCGAGCGCCGAGCGCAGTTGCGTCGGTGACCGTCAAACTGGGTGACCGTCAAGTTGCCAAAGAACAACATGACGGTCACCGACGCAACAAGACTCGCTCGGGACGTGGTGAAACGAGCAAATACTCGAAACTGAGAAGTGAGCAAAGACTCGAAAACGGACGAAACACATGGTCCGTTTGGGAGGCTCGGGTTCGTTCTTCGCGAAAAGACGATCTATGTCACATCTCTCTGGAATCCTCTGGCTTTCTTGGGAAACATGTGTTTTTTTGACCTCAGCTCAAACTCAGCCTGATGAGCCACATGGCCTTTTTGACCTCAGCTCATCTTTCGGCTCTTGTTTACAGCGCCAGCGCACACCCGGCCAGCTGCTCGGTGCGACGCCACGCGGCACCCGGTGGGTGGCACGCGCTGTGGCACGCGGTGCCGGCGAGACAGTGGCGAGACACAGCGGTAGCCGGCGATCGCCGCAGGTAGGATAAGAGCAGAACGGGTTGATGGATGATGGTATCATCCAGCTGGAGTCATCCGTCCAGCTTGTGTTTGTCGCCTTAGGATGCGATGACATGCACTGTTCCACACACGAGTAGTTCCATCGAATGGCCCATGGCCTTGAGTTGCTATTGTAATCCATTTTCCAACGCTCATGACCCAGCTATTCCTGATGCCCTGGCCGAACCAGGCGCACTTTGCTCTTCACCACCCGACCAAGGTGGCCAAGCGCTCCAAGACGTCCACGCAAGTTGCGGCCAGCAAGCGTTTCATGTCAGGCTGCACCGCACCCGCCACAGGGTGGTTTCATGTCCCTAGGGCTCCAAATACCTTCTAAGAAAGTGCTTGAGGTGGGTTTGGAGGGTCCAAATACCTTCTGAGGTACTTGGAGCCCTAGGGTGTGTCTTCTATAATTCTGCCGTGCCGAAGAGCGCTTCTCTCATCTCCCAGTTCACCGGAGCCACCCCGGCAGGGGCAGGCCCGTCACCCTCGGCTTGTATTTGTAGGAGCAACTTGCCAATGATCCGAGCCAAGCGCTTGGTCTTTCTGGGCACCTGCAACTCTTCCATCACATCACTCACCTCTGCACCCCCAATGGTCCTCTGCCGTTTTCCGGTGAAGGGACAAAAACCATCATTCAAATGGCCAGCGGAGACCAAGTTCTTCAGTTTCTGGACCACTTCACGTGGAGATGGCGAAGCTGAGGACGGAGACGTCTCCGTGGCCATCTTCACTTCACAGTCTTCTGCCATCTCCAGCACGGCATGGAGGGAGTCTGCCAGCTGCTGAAGCCCCGCGCGCATCGCGAGTAAGGGATCGTGCACGCCGGGGGATGAAAGAAGCTGCACGATCCTATCACCGTTGAGGGACCCAAGAAACGGAGGGAAGCAGTCAGATCGATCACCACCAAAGCTGTTACTACAAAACCCGAACAGGACAGAACAAACACGAAAGATCCCTCCCAGCAACCGTGTCCTCGTCAGATTGGCATCAAACCTAGAGTCTTCAGACCAATTGCTCAAGCAGCTCAGCCAATTCGATAGTTGTTCATCCTTGTTGGCTACAATGCCTATCTCCGACCTGGGCTGTGTGCCGTTTCATCCCTTTTTCGGCCTGCATGCCGTGTCCCTAATCTGATTGGGGAACTTGCGCCTTCATCTTCCCATCATCCACATCGCTCAATCGCCAAGGGCGACGTAATCAGTGTGGTGGAACGTGTTGGTATTTCAAGTTGTACAGCCACAGCCTAGACTCCAAACACCCAACCAGCCTATACATCTGAAACACACACATATAAAACTATCTTATAGTTATCCCAGAAAGTGTAAACACTTGAAAGCACTTGATCTTCGGATACACCCTCCAAAAAGTGCAGAACAGTTGGGAAGGATAGACAGTAATTGCTCCGAGAGCTGCAAAAGAGTGACAAGAATTGAGGCACAAAGACCTTAGCATGATGCGACGCCTGGCTGCTTAGAGGCAGCCAGCACATTCCAACGAGAAGCCCAAGCCACCCAGTGCTCAAACTGTACCTTGAAGCCATGGCATCCAAAGGCTGGAGCAGTTCAGGCACGAACGAAGTTGTAATCAGTTGTAATCAGTTGTAATGTGTAATTCGATGTACTTAGTACCTTTCGTCTGGTGATGAAACACAAAAGACCTTTGGGGTTTCCGGTATAAGCTCATGTAGAACTGATCACGACGAGCTTGGCTTAGACTGTCTGAGAACTGAGACCGACAGTCTGCACGGAGCGTCGGACTCGCTCCTGGCAGGACTGAGATCTTTCCGTGATGAGAAGAGATTCACGTGAACCATGGGTAAAAAGCAGAATGGCCCTATGTTTCTGAAGCAGGTCCCATGTAGTGCCAACAGGTATATCCCATACTTAATAGCAGGTTCTATACTTAAGCCAGGCATACGTTAGGACATCCCAAGCAGGTCTTAACGTATCCGCACGTGAAGTCAGCGAAGCAGTGAAGGCAGCCTAGCAGGGCCTAGCAGCCTATGTCTGTGAGCACTGCAAACCTACCCAGGGGACATGGTTGACCCTTGGAAGAACAGGGGATCTGGTTGACCCTTAGAAAAGCAGG